CTCCCCATGCTCTATTCCGCCTTGGTTAGACCACTTTACCTGGAATCACATTGTGTCCCATTCTGGGCACCACAATTCAAGAGAGATATTGACTCCAAGCTGGAATGTATCCAGAGAAAGAGGGCGACTAAAATGATCAAGGTTTTGGAGAACAAGCCCTATGAGGAGCGGCTTAAGGAACTGCTGGGCATGTTTAGCCTGAAGAAGAGAAGGCTGAGAGGAGACATGATGAGGGTCATGTATAAATATGTGGGAGGAAGCCACAGGGAGGAGGAGGAGGGAGCAAGCTTGTTTTCTGCTTCCTTGGAGACTCGGACGCAAGGGAACAATGGCTTCAAACCACAAGAGAGGAGATTCCATCTGAACACGAGGAGGAACTTCCTGACTGTGAGAGCCGTTCAGCAGTGGAACTCTCTGCCCCGGAGGGAGTGTGGTGGAGGCTCCTTCTTTGGAGGCTTTGAAACAGAGGCTGGATGGCCATCTGTCAGGAGTGCTTTGAAGGCAATGTTCCTGCTTCTTGGCAGAATGAGGTTGGACTGGATGATGGCCCAGGAGGTCTCTTCCCACTCTAGGATTCTAGGATTCTATGGAATGAAGCTTCTATGGAAAGCCCTGGCCACCAAAGGAGGCCAAAATGGGTAAGTTGTGCGGTTTCCGGGTTGTAGGGTCAATGTGTTCTAGCAGCATTTTCTCCTGACGTTTTGCCTGGAGAACATCACGCGCAAATGCTGCTAGAACATATTGGCCACAAAGCCCTGAAACCGCAATACATGCCAGTGATTCCGGCTGTGACAACCTTTGACCGTGCGATGCCAGATCTTTACGGTGCCGGTGATATAACGGCCTGCTCCCCCGCTCACCCCGTTTTGCTGTCCTTACACAGCACCGTTTCCAATCCAACACGAGACGGGGTTTCCCTTTGCGTTCTGGCAGCTGGCCGCTCCTCACTTGGGAAAATACGACTAATCTTCCCAGCCAGCTGTTACCTAAGACCCATAATGCTATATGTCCCCAGCCTGGTGTGTTTACCACGGAGAGGCTGCAAAAACCAGCCCTGAAGGAAGGCCTTGTGCCGCGCGGGCCGCTCTGAGGAACCCCCAGGAGAGCGCACGGGGCTCAGAGAGGAAGCCGCTCGGGCGTTCGCCAGCTGAACGCTGGGACTGGCCTGGGGATGGACACTGGCGCTCCCGGCCTGAGGGAAGGGCTCGGCCAGCCCCCTCTTCCCCCCTCTCTCTCCCTCCTTGCAGAGCCTGTGGGAAATGGCCGGGGGGGGGGGGGGGGGGGGGGGGGGGGGGGGGGAGGCGAGGGCAGGAAGCAGAGGTCGCAGAGCAGGGCTGCCCAGGGAAGAAACCCGGAAGAACTCCCTCCCTGGGGAGCCAAGTCTTGGGACTGTTGACCAAGAACCCTCAAGCACCCGCCCTTTCCACAAGGACCTTCAGTCTAACAGCTGAAAAACCCAACTGCCTCACATGATTACTAGTGGACATTAACCTGAGAAACCCCCCGGAGAGCGCATGGGGCTCCAAGAGGAAGCCGCTGTTTGAAGGGATGTTTGAAGGGAGAGCAGGTGCTTTTGGGCTCTGAAAGGAACCCTCTTGAAACTCTGCTGTTTTTTGGGCACTGGCATATCCAGTTCAAAGAGATATCTGGGTATACATCAGTCTAACAACTGAGAACCCTAATTGCCTTGCACGAATACTGGCGGATATTATTTACCACTAAGGAGAAGGTTGCCTTCACTCTTCTCAGGGAGATCATCGTTTACAAAAGGCTCCGCTCTCCAACAAGGTCTGGCCTTTCCAAAGGGTTGTGATTATTCCCAATGGCGTGAATGCTAATTCATCTCCAAAAGAGTTGTGCTTCCAAAAGGCTGTGGAGACTCCTGGTTTTCCCAATGCAATCCACATCTGCTGCTCCCCCAAAAGTGCCCTCCCCCTTATGATCAGCCCCCGTTAGGAGAGGGAAGCCCCCTTCAGCTTGGCTGGCCATGATACGGAAGGGTCAGCCCCATTTCTATGGTCGTTGAGCCCCCTTGGAGGGAGGGAGCCCTCCCCCTCCCCCCTCCCCCCTCCCCCCTCCCCCCCCTCGCCCCATGGCAGACCTCTGCCTCAGGTATATTGCAGGCTTAGCTCACTGGACGAACGCATCCAACCGCATCCGTGTCTCTTCCGCTCAGTTTCATGGGGCTGAAAGCGCAACCGAATCTCCTCTGACTGAGCATCTCACTTTGCAAAACCAAGCCCGGAGTCACGGAAGGCGGGGGGGGGGGGGGGGGAGATGCTGCCATGGATCCCGCTGGCCTCATTCGATCGAGAAGGTTCCCAAAATCCTAATACCTAGAGCTCGAGTTTCTGAAACGCCGTTCGGAAGATGGAAGATGATTAAGCCCCCAGGTGATTCATGGGCGTGCCTGGCAAGAAAGTAATTAACAATGCCCCCCCCCCCCCATTAGCCTCCAATCAGCCCAGTGGAGAAGCAAGGCGGGAGGGACCGGAGGAAACTGCATCCCGGAGAGGAGGAGAGGAGAGGAAGCCCCAAATGGTTCAGGCCCAGGCTATTTGCAGAAGCGCCTCTCCGTATACAAACCGGCTCAAGTGTGGTGATCTGCAGGAGGCCCTGCTCTCGGTCCAACCCCTGCCTCAATCACGGCTGGTGGGAACGAGAGAGGGGCCTTCTCCGTGGCCGCTCCCTGCCTCTGGAACGCCCTCCCAAAGGAACGAAAAGCCACCTCCTCTCCCCTCGTCTTCAAAAAGTTGCTAAAAAGCCATCTTGGCCCTCTAGCACATGGAGAGGAGGAAGAACAACACATCTCGACCCACATCCTCGCCTAGATGCGCTAAATCTTGTTCAGATCCTGGAATTGACTTCAGCCTGAATCCTAGAATCCTAGAAGAGTTAGAAGAGCCATCCTCCAGTCCAACCCCATTCTGCCAAGAAGCAGGAATATTGCATTCAAATCACCCCTGACAGATGGCCATCCAGCCTCTGTTTCAAAGCTTCCAAAGAAGGAAGGAGCCTCCACCACACTCCCTCCGGGGCAGAGAGTTCCACTGCTGAACAGCTCTCACAGTCAGGAAGTTCTTCCTCATGTTAAGATGGAATCTCCTCTCTTGTAGTTTGAAGCCATTGCTCCATTGCGTCCGAGTCTCCAGGGAAGCAGAAAGGAAGCTCCCTCCCTCCTCCTCTCTGTGGCTTCCTCTCATGTATTTATACATGGCTATCATATCCCCTCTCAGCCTTCTCTTCTTCAGGCTAAACATGCCCAGCTCCTTAAGCCGCTCCTCATAGGGCTTGTTCTCCAGACCCTCGATCATTTGAGTCGCCCTCCTCCGGACACATTCCAGCTTGTCAATATCTCTCTTCTGTTGTGGTGCCCAGAATTGGACACAATATTCCAGGCAAAGTGGTCTAACCAAGGCGGAATAGAGCATGGGGAGCATGACTTCCCTGGACCTAGACACTAGGCTCCTCTTGATGCCTGAGGCCAAGATCCCATTGGCTTTTTTTGCCGCCACATCACGTTCCTGGCTCATGTTCATCTTCCTCCCCACGAGGACTCCAAGATCTTTTCCACACGTCCTGCTCTCGAGCCAGCCTCTCAGCCTGAGAGTTGCTGCAAATCCCCTCACCTCTCTACTATAAGCTTTCAGTTATTAGTTTCTATAAGTTGTTTACCCCGTGATAAATTTCCCCAAAGAGCAGCAGAGCAGGAACTCCAAAACAGCAGCAGCCTACATACAAAAGAGCAGTAGCCCCAAAATGGCAAAGAACATGAAGTCAAGGGAGTCAAGGTATCACAGGCCTAAATCCAAGACAGGAACTTCTTCCAAGGCAAACCCTTCCAGGAACGTAAGCAAACACAGAACTTGAGAGCGGAGAAAGGAGCCGGAACCTTCTGGCAACGTGGTCTCCTCTGAGAGACACCAAGGAAATACCACTTAATAGAAGCCCAAGAGCGACGAGGAAGCCACGAGACCATGCCTCACACGCCTGGGTTTCAAGGACTTATCACGGACTCTCTCTAATCACCTAATTAATCTATCTTTCACTCTCTCTGTCCAGAGACCTAATCTGGTATCACGGGAAAACTCCCCACAGGCTGAAGGCCGTTTTCCAAGAGAAATTGATCTTTCCCTGTTGCTAAGGAACGGACATCAGAATCCAAAGCATCCTCTGTATCATCTTCACCTGCCTGAAACTCTCTCTGATCGAAGGCCTGCAWTTCTCCCCAATCACACACAGACTCCTCAGTTTGAAGCCCACCCTCGTCCTCTGAGAAATCCCCAGCCCCGTGCTGAGCCCCCCACTCTGCCCCGAACGCATCACAAGAAACCCAGCAAAAGGCCTGCGAATCCCTGGGCTGTAGAATGACCAGGAAAGGCCCTCCCCCCTCTTTGTCCATGGAGGCCACACTCTGGACAGCAAGGACGGTGATACGTCTGGCCAATCTTGCGGGACCACAAGGACCCTCCACAGGAAACACTTCAGCAAAGGGCAGCCCTGCCTTGGTGGCTCACGCGCCTTTTTACACCACGGCATTTGCATTCAGAGATCACATTTTCCAGCCCCGCAAACTTGTGTCAGTCAGTTCCACAGGTACCGCATCCATGGACTCCATCACCCACGGTTTGGAAACGGCAAAAGAAAATTCCCCTCAAGCCAGGCTTGCTTTCGCCATTTTATATAAGGGACACCATTTCTCTCTGCTACTGGATACAATGGGGGTGGAGCACCCCCCACGGATGCTGGTCTCTGTGGGGCCCTTAAACCCAGGCCCAGTGGATAGTGAAGACCTCGTGCTTTGGACTCCATCAGAACCAGTGCCTGAAGGTGATTCCTGGGGAGCAGGAACCATTTGCCAGGGACACGGCCTTCCCAGCGCTCCCGGGGGCTTTGCTCCCTTGACCCCCCCCCCCCCCTTTCCCTCCCCAGAAAGAAAGGGAATAACCACCAAGCAGAGCAAGAAGCAGGAGGTCAGAAAAGGGGGAATTCCCACTTACAGCACTGGGAGGCAGCGGAGGGCAGCGGCGGGATCCCCACGACGTCTTCCCTGAAGGAAACCTGAGGAGAAGGAGGACAGGACGTCTGTTGAGGGTGCTTTGACTGTGACTGGGTGGCCCTGGAGACTAGAACTCCGTGGAGCCGTGGGTTCAAAGGACCAGAAAGGAAGGGGAGTCCACATGAACATTAGGAAGAACTTCCTGACCGGAAGAAGAACTGTTCAGCTGTGGAACTCTCTGCCCCGGAGTGTGGAGCTTTGGGGCTTTTAAGCAGAGGCTGGATGGCCATCTGTTGGGGGTACTTGGATGGTGTTTTTCCTGCATGGAAAGGGGTTGGACTGGATTGCCCATGTGGTCTCTTCCAACTGCATTAAATTTGAAACACAACCAGATGAGTCCACAGCAGACACTCTTCTGGCTGTTGTGTTGGATCACACACCGGGCACTTCCCAAGTGTCTAGGACTGTGTGATCTGTCGGTAAATAATGCCTGCAGATCCCAGTAAGGTGGCAGGTGGTAATTTTGTCAGCGCCAATTGTGTAATATTATTATTATTATTATTATTATTATTATTATTATTACTTTACCGACACCAAACACAGTATGTCACAGCAAATGAGATTATTATTATTATTATTATTATTATTATTATTATTATTAACAGCGGAGCAGTTGCAGCAATTCCTAGACGACACAGCCGGACGAGATCCCTTCCAGTCCGGCTTCCGTGCGGGGCACGGGACAGAGACTGTGCTGGTCTCCACCACGGATCATCACCTTCGATGCCAGCTTGACCAGGGCGGGTCAGCGCTGCTCGTGCTATTGGACCTCACAGCAGCATTTGACACAGTCGACCACAATCTCTTGACCCACCGCCTTGCTGTTGCTGGAATCAGGAGGACAGCTTTGAATGGGCTCCCCTCCTTTCTTCACAACCGTGGACAGCGAGTGGAGAGGGGAGGCCTGGTCTCTGAGAGGTCCCCCCCCCCTCTCTCTTGTGGGGTTCCTCCTCAGGGGGCCATTCTCTCTCCTCTCTTGTTTAACATCTATATGCGACCACTTGCTCAGCTGGTTCGAGGTTTTGGGCTTGAGTGTTATCAGTACGCCGATGACACTCAGCTGGTGCTGAAGATGGAAGGCCGACCGGACTCTGTACCCGATTGTTTCCATCAGTGCCTCGAGGCCGTGACTGGATGGCTGCGTGCCAGCAGGTTGAGGGTGAATCCAGCAAAGACGGAGATCCTATGGCTGGGTCGACCGGGCAGTGGGGACATCCATCTGCCCACCCTGGATGGCGAGGCGTTACGCCCGTCATCATTGGTCAAGAGCCTGGGAGTCCTTTTGGACCCTCTTTCTGCTGAGGATGGAGGCCCAGGTCTCTCTCCGCCGTGAGCAGAACCGCCTTCTTTCTTCCACCTGCGGCAGGCTAGACGGCTGGCCCCCTCCCTGTCCAGGGACGACCTAGCTACGGTGATCCAGGCCACGGTCATCTCAAGACTGGACTACTGTAACGCCCTCTACATTGGCCTCCCTCTGTCGGTGATTCGGAAGCTCAAGTTGGTACAAAACGCAGCTGCTCGGCTTCTTGCGGGAATTCCGATGAGATGCCACATAACACCAATCATACTACAGCTGCATTGGTTACCCATTGAGCACCGGATCACTTTCAAAGGGATGGGACTCACCTTGAAGGCCTTGCATGGTCTGGGGCCAATGTATCTGAGGGATCGTCTCACCCCCTACCAACCCCAGAGATCCCTCCGTTCTGAGGACCAAGATCTATTGGAAGTCCCCAGTGTCAAGACCTTGCGTCTAACGGCAACCAGACGCAGAGCCTTCACAGCAGTGGCACCATCACTCTGGAATACTCTGCCACCTGAAGTCCGTGCCTTGCGGGACTTACCAGCTTTCCGCAGGGCATGTAAGACATACCTGTTTCGACAGGCTTTTAATGTTTGATAGTGTTGTTTTTAAATTGTTTTAAATTGCTTTTAAATTTTGTTAGATTTTAGCCATTCTTGTAAGCCGCTCCGAGCCCCAGGGAAGGGAGTGGCCCCATAGAAGTTTAAATAATAAATAAATAAATAAATAAATAAATTATTATTATTATTATTATGGCTAGACGGCCATCTGTTGGGGGTGCTTTGATGGTGCTTTTTCTGCATGCAAGGGTGTTGCGCTAGATGCCCCACGTGGTCTCTTCCAACTCTATTATTCTAGGTAAGGAAAACAGAGAGGACGCTGAACCAAAAAAGGGGGGGGGGGGCTGGCCTTTTAGCCTTTTGCACGCCTCTCTTGTAACATTTTGCATTCTGCCTTGGCCGACCTGTAAGTGCAATGAGTAAACCCAGAGAGTAATTCCACCCTCGGCCCTGGCAGGATTTCCCAGTGGAGAAGGAAGCTGGCATGGACTGTGTGATGTGTCGGCAAATAATGCCTGCAGATCCCAGTAAAGGTGGCCTTTTGCAACTGGCAGGTGGTGATTTGGTCAGCGCCGATTGTGTTTAAGTGCAGGCAGTGTATTATTATTATTATTATTATTGTTGTTGTTGTTGTTGTTGTTATTGTTATTACTTTACTGACACCAAACACAATATGTCACAGCAAATGAGATTATTATTATTATTATTATTATTATTATTATTATTATTATTATTATTGCTAGATGGCCATCTGTTGGGGGTGCTTTGGTGGTGCTTTTTCTGCATACAAAGGTGTTGCACTAGATGCCCCACGTGGTCTCTTCCAACTCTATTTTGCACGCCTCTCTTGTAACATTTTGCATTCTGCCTTGGGCAACCTGTAAGTGCAATGAGTAAACCCAGAGAGTAATTCCACCCTCGGCCATGGCAGGATTTCCCCCCAAAACTGCAACATTTCCCACTGGAGAAGGAAACTGGCATCCCGGGGGGGGGGGGGGGGCTTTGGGCCCGGGGGGGAGGGGAGGCCCCAGGGCACAAACCCCCCCCCCCATCCTGTGGCTTGCACCCACTGGTGGAGCCCAGGACACGCGCCCCGGCCACTCACCTCCTCGTCTTCGTCCAGGGAGTTGATCTGCTTGAGCTTCTGGGTCCAGTAGCGGGCTTCTTCCTCCGGAATGTCTGCAGAAGGGCAACAGAGTCATGGGAGGGACACGGGCACGGGCTCAGGACACGCATCAAAACATAGTTGTGGAGCAACGCTCCCGAGCAAAGGACCACAACACACATTTCCGAAATGCAGGCGGAGGGGCAGCTTTGGCCGGCAGGGAGAGGCCTGGCGGGCCGGGAATTCCTCCTTGGCTCTTCCTGCTCCACTCCTGGTCTCTTCTTCCCACTTACTTTTGCCACGTTTTTATTCTTCCCATTCGGCCTGGAGTTCACCGTGGAACCTGACCATTTTTCCCCACGTCAATTTGGTTTTCAGGTAGACCTAGTCATGCTGCCCAGAGGAGTCACGTGGACAGGTGACAAAAACACAAATAAACCAACACAAACCAAGAACATGCACGTGTGCACACACAACACACACCGCCCCGCTGTCCAAACAAAGAATAAAGGAACTGTCGAAGGCTTTCATGGCCGGAATCACTGGGTTGTTGTAGGTTTTTTCGGGCTATATGGCCATGTTCTAGAGGCATGCTCTCCTGACGTTTCGCCTGCATCCTCAGCCTCAGGCCCTTTCCTTTTGCCCCTCAGCCGCTTAAGCTGTGAATGTGTTGTTGTAGGTTTTTCGGGCTGTGTGGCCACATTCTAGAGGCATTCTCTCCTGACGTTTTGCCTGCATCTATGGCAAGCATCCTCGGAGGTAGTGCGGACTGTTGGAAGTAGAGAAATGGGTTTATATATCTGAGGAATGACCTGGGTGGGACAAAGGACTCTTGTCTGCTGGAGCTAGGTGTGAATGTGTTGTTGTAGGTTTTTCGGGCTATATGGCCATGGTCTAGAGGCATTCTCTCCTGACGTTTCGCCTGCATCTATGGCAAGCATCCTCAGAGGTAGTGAGGTCTGATGGAACTAGGAAAAAGGGTTTATATATCTGTGGAATAATGTCCAGGATGGGACAAAGGACTCTTGTCTGCTGGAGCTAGGTGTGAATGTGTTGTTGTAGGTTTTTTGGGCTGTGTGGCCATGGTCTAGAGGCATTCTCTCCTGACATTTCACCTGCATCTATGGCAAGCATCCTCAGAGGTTGTGAGGTCTGTTGGAACTAGGAAATTTGGGTTTATATATCTGTGGAATTACCAGAGTGGGACAAAGGACTCTTGTCTGCTGGAGCTGGGTGTGAATGTTTCAACTGATCACCTTGATTAGTATATAATGGCCTGGCAGTGCTGAGGATGCAGGCGAAACGTCAGGAGAGAATGCTTCTAGAAGATGGCGCAGTTCTTCTCCCCCACAAAACATTTCCTGAAGTTCGCATCTGCGAGGCCCAGAGAAGGTGGGCTGTTTTGCAAATTCCACCGCAAACATGCAAGGACCCCCACGCCAAGCCCCCCCTTCCCACCCGGCCCCAGAAGCACAGCCAGGAGGGAGACTTCAGGTCACTCCCTGGGCAGACACACGGCACCCGAGGCCCACGCACGCATGCACGGCACACAAGGGCAGAGGTACCACTTTGGCCGCGTCCATCTCGTCGTGCCAGAAGGAGCTCTTTGGCCTGGGAAGCGGAAGACAAGAGGGCGCTCAGCCCAAGACAAGGGGGCCTGGGAGGGGGGACCTCGTGAGAAAGGGATGGGCAAGAGGGGAGGGGGCCGCAGAACAGAGCAAATGGGACACTGAATGCCTTCGAGAACAGAGACTCTCTCAGGCCAGAGAGGCAGTTTGGACTTTGGACTGTTAACTGAAAGAATAACGTCCTGCGTTACCTTCACAGAGAAACTAATTCAAATCTATTTGTACCTGGATTGATATTCAAAGTTACAAAGTCCTTGTATGCTGAATACATGAAGTTTGTGAGTAAACCAAACTCACAAGTCTGCTTATTTTTGATCTCTTGAGAGCATGATGTAAAACCAAGATGTTTCAAGGGAGAGGATATGTTTTTTGGGCAACTGAAAGAACACTTCTGAAACTCTGAGAGAGATATATATATATATACTAGCCGTCCCCTGCCACGCGTTGCTGTGGCCCACTTTGGTGGTCATGGGGGTTCTGTGCAGGAGATTTGGCCCAATTCTAACGTTGGTGGGGTTCAGAATCCTCTGTGATTCTAGGCCCAGTGTATCTGTCCGAACGTATCTCCTTCTACGTCCCACCTCGGAGTTTAAGATCTGCTGGGGGGGGCCCCTGCTCTCGGCCCCTCCTTTATCACAAGCGAGACTGGTGGGGACGAGGGACAGGGCCTTCTCGGTGGTGGCCCCTCACCTGTGGAATGCACTCCCCGGGGAAATTAGGACATCAACATCCCTCCTCTCCTTCAGGAAGGAGCTAAAAACCTGGATGTGGGACCAGGCCTTCGGCTAAGCTGGCAGACGGACAAAGACAACCAATAATGACCAGAGTAGGAAAGGACAATGACAATGCTAAATGGTTTACAGACTTGGATTGGTGAACACTGACCACAAGATGTTTTTATTGCTGCTAGTATACTGTTTGATTGTTTTAATTAGTGATAACTGTGATATTATATGGTAAATTCATTCCATTGTATGTTGTAATTGTTAGGCATCGAATTGTGCCTTTTGTAAGCCGCCCTGAGTCCTCCCCCCCCCCCCAGGGGGTTGGGAAGGGCGGGTTAGAAGCACCCCAAATAAATAAATAGATGAACTATAAATCCCAGCAACTACAACTCCCAAATGTAAAGATTCTATTTTCCCCAAATTCCACCAGTGTTCACATTTGGGCATATTGAGTATTTGTGTAGAGTTTGGTCCAGATCCATCATTGTTTGTGTCCACAGTGTTCTCTGGATGTAGGTGAACTACAACTCCAAAACTCAAGGTCAATGCCCACCAGACCCTTCCAGTATTTTCTGTTGGTCCTGGGAGTCCTGTGTGCCAACGTTGAACTCCCATCACTGAAGTTCAGAATGCTCTTTGCTTGTAGGTGAACTATAAATCCCAGCACCTGCAACTCCCAAATGACAAAATAACTTTTTTTTTTTGAGTGAAGGACATACATTGGGTTGTTAGGTGCCTTGTGTCCAAATTTGGTGTCAATTCGTCCAGTGGTTTTTGAGTTCTGTTAATCCCACAAACGAACATGACATTTTTATTTATATAGATATAAACATAAAGATATAGATATATATAATGTGCATTGGCATTACTTTGCCCCTAACAGTTCAAAGAGACATCTAGGTATATCAGTCCAACAGCCGAGAACCCCAATTGCCTTGCATGAATTAACTCTTCTCAGGGAGATTCCTGCTTTTCTCTAATGGTAATATCCACTTAATATCCATTTCCCAAAAAGTGATGTCATCGTTTTCCAAAAGGTTATGTTTTCCAACAAGGTTGCCTCTTTCCAAATTTCTCCAAAAGTTGCCAAGCAGAGCCAAGCAAGCTGCCTGCCCCATCTCCCTCCATATTTACCACCTTGCCACCACTGCATGGGAAGCAGACCCTGGGGCCGGGAAGCTGAGCCCCCCCCCCCCCGGCCGACCTCCCTCCCTCCCTCCGGCCCCCCTTCATGGGTGGCGCTCACCAGGAAACCACAAGATTAAACGTAAACGAACAAGCAAGTTCCACAACCACGATTTCAGCAGGAGAGGCAGGGACAGCGTGGGGTCGGGAAGATGGAGAAAGGGATGACAGAAAACCGGGGTAACAATCACCCTTTACGATCAGGTTCAATCTGACATGGTAACATGTTCACCTTGGAGGGCAAAATAAGAGAAACCGAAGGTAATGGCATGGATAAAAAGCACCAAAGTCAATGCAAATATTGTACAGAAACTAAGGAAATGGTGCTCGTGGCTAAGGATACAGACAGAGGTCAGGCATGAGCAAACTTGGGCCCTCCCTCCCTCCAGGTGTTTTGGACTCCTACAGGCTGTTAGGAATTGTGGGAGTTGGAGTCCAAAACACCTGGAGGGAGGGCTTAAGTTGGCCCAGGCCTGATATACAGAAGAGTCTCGCTTATCCGACCTCTGTTTATCCGACATTCCACCTTATCCGAGGCCTCCCTTTTCCTCCAGCATTTCCTCTTCAATGAAAGGAGTGCATTTCCACAACTCTCTCTCCATTCCCAGTAAGAGAAAAAGGGAGGAAAGAGGAAAGGGGGCAGGACCAGAAGCGGAAGCGCCCCCCCCCTTCCTTCTGGGATCCCCACGCTCCTCCTCTTCCACATCCGGGCACTTCCTGCTGGGCCGCTCTAGCCCTGAGGACGGGCCTTGCCTTCACCCTCGGAGTCCCTCTGGTTCGTATTCTGGGTGCCTTGTGCTGCGTCAGGCAGGTATCTGGAGAAGACTCCCGATTATCCAACATTTTCGTTTATCTGGCGTTCATCTGGTCCATTTATGTTGGATAAGTGAGACTCTACTGTAGGCGAAATATGTGTCCTGAGGGAGGGGGCCGGGAGGATTTCTACAACTAAAAACGAGTAAGAAGTATTATTGAAAGGATGTGGGTGGGTGACTATGAGCGGGGGCCGCAGTGAGGGATACAACGGGAGGGAGAAGGGGGGTCACTCACCAAAAGGCAACTCGAACCGGGCGTCCATCAGAATCTTGTGTGGGGTGGGGTTCTTGGTGCCGCAGACCTCGTGGCCCTTCATCAGGACCTCCGCCTCCAGGGTGGACCACTCCCCCGGCCCCTCCTGGGCAAGGAAGGGAGAGCAAGGTGCGTCATGCGCCGGCCGAAGGGGGGCTCGGGCCTCCTCCCCGGGCCCACCCAAAGGGAGCCACGTGCGAGACACCCTCCCACTGTGAGCAAGAGTCCTCAAACACAACGGCCACGGAGGCTTTGCAGGGCTGCCTTCCCCCACGGGCCCCACGGGCTCCCACATCTTTCCTTCCAAAACCAAGTATCAATGAGAGAATCCCAGCAGCAGGTCAGGAAAAGTCTCACAAAGTCCAAGGGTTCGGCAAGAAGCCTTACTGATGTCTTTTGTGTAGTTTGGGGGGAGTGGGGTGGGATTATTTCAGGGAAATGACGCTAAAGAGACCCTTGCACAGAAGAAATGCAAGCAAAGCCTAAGGGAACAGGGAGAGAGAAGGGGTGTTGTGGAGCATAACCAAATACAAGTTGCAAAGCGTAATCAAAACAGAACTGTGTTGACATAAAGTGTGTAAATACACTGCACATGAACCACAAAACAAAACGGAATGTTGCTTAGTTATCTTGCAGTCCTTGAGACAGTAAATTATCTTCAAATACTGTCCAAATTAAGTCCAAATGGTATCCAGCTCAAAATATAATCCAAATAATAATACGTCAAGGATCCCCGGATTGAGGTTGCCTTGTTTTGGGGGGCTTCCCCTTCTTCAGGGTTTGTCTTCTTTATGAAAGTGGGTGGTTCACACTATGCATCCCTAAATGGGTGATAACAACAACACAATAGTTCTGTTTTGATAACGCTTTGCAACTTGTATTTTGTTATTGTTCATAGATATCTGTGTTCCTTTGATATTGGTGTTGTGGGGCATGCCACAAGTGGCGCTGACAGGAGAAGCCATGCCTGAAATGCATAAAAGTGGTTCTGCTGCAGCTGGAGGAGTGGAGCGGGCGAGTGACCCTTGAGTGGGCCCTCAACTCAGCTGGGCGGTCCCCCCACCCACCCCTTCTCACTGACCTCCTCCGACTGGCGGATGGCCCTCAGCGCGATCCAGGCGGTGCCCACCATCGTGTCCCAGATGAGCCCTTTGTTCCAGACTTCCACAATCAGGCCCAGGTCCAGGCGGCTGATCTCGCTGCAAACGGGGGCAAAACACACACACACACACACACACACACACACATACATGTCAACACCTGCAGGGAAACCCAGGGCGGCCACTCTGGTGCTTGACCAATGTGTCCCCGTGTGAACCCAGCAGCAGAGGCGCACCCTCGCCCTCCTGCTCTAGGACGGACGGACGATAGGAAGGGAAGGAGGCCCCATGACCCCTCCTCTTCGGCCAAAGAGGAAGCAAAGTGGACACAGGAGGAGCCCTGCTGCAGGCACACGCTTTGGCCACTAGAGGGACACAGAGGACCACAAAGCAAATGGACTCGGGATGAATAATAATAATAATAATCAAACTTTGTTTTCATTCTCTCCTGATGTTTTGCCTGCATCTATGGCAAGCATCCTCAGCCTCAGGCCCCTTCCTTTTGCCATCCAGCCTCTTCCTTTTGCTTAAGCGGCTGAGGGGCAAAAGGAAAGGGCCTGAGGCTGAGGATGCTTGCCATAGATGCAGGCAAAACGTCAGGAGAGAGTGCTGTTCTCTCTGCTGGAGGTTTTCCAGAGGAACCGGGGAGAAAGGGGGTCATCCCTTGCCTCAATGACAGTAAGTGCAAATATAAAAGCCCAAGGTAACCCCACATTCAGAGCAACTTAAGCACAGCAACTATAATTTAAATAAAACATCATCAGTAGAAAATTATAACTAACATAGAACTTATACATAAAACAGGATCCCCCAGTGGGTCAGTGGGTCAAGCCCTTGTGCCGACAGGACTGAAGGCTGACAGGTCAGAGGTTTGAATCCAGGAAGAGTGCAGATGAGTTCCCTCTGTCAGCTCCAGCTCCCCATGCAGGGACATGAGAGGAGCCTCCCACAAGGATGGGAAAACGTCAAAACATCCGGGCAACGTCCCCAGGGCAATGTCCTTGCAGACAGCCCATTCTCTCACACCACTAGCGAATTGCAGTTTCTCAAGAACAAGCCCTGTGAGGAGCGGCTTAAGGAGCTGGGCATGTTTAGCCTGAAGAAGAGAAGGCTGAGAGGAGGCATGATAGTCATGTATAAATATGTGAGAGGAAGCCACAGGGAGGAGGAGGGAGCAAGCTTGTTTTCTGCTTCCCTGGAGACTAGGACGCAAGGGAACAATGGCTTCAAACTACAAGAGAGGAGATTCCATCTGAACATGAGGAAATACTTCCTGACTGTGAGAGCCGTTCAGCAGTGGAACTCTCTGCTCCAGAAGGAAGCTCCTTCTTTGGAGGCTTTGAAACAGAGGCTGTATGGCCATCTGTCAGGGTGCTTTGAATGCAATATTCCTGCTTCTTGGCAGAATGGGGTTGGACTGGATGATGGCCCAGGAGGTCTCTTCCCACTCTAGGATTCTATGATTCTATGATTCTATGATAACCCCACATTCAGAGCAACTTAAGCACAGCGACTATAACTTAAATAAGACATCATCAGTAGAAAATTATAACTAACAAAGAACTTATACATAAAACATCTGAATCAAGATATGAAAACAGCATGAAGGTTCACAAATGTGTGCATAGATTATGTGGCCAAAGTTGTTAAATGGGAGGGTGTGATCTAACAAGCATAGAAGTCTTTTGGGGAGAGTCGGCGTGCATCTGCACTAGTCCAGGCGCACCAAAGTACAACTCCTACGAATCCATATCCTTGAGCCGTGGCAGCGAAGACGGCATCAAACTGGCTCTATTCCGCCCTGTAGATACACCCTACACTCCCATTTGCCGAGACACCTGGGGTTCGGAGGTGCCGCACTCCAAGAAAGGAGTTGCCCCAAGTCCCAGGGTGGCGTGGGCAGGATCCTCGCCAGCGTACCATGTTGGGCCAGGACCGCCAGCTCCAGGGCTTTCTGGATGGGCCGGACTACCTAGATCCATTCTCTCTGGTTTCAGGCCTGATTGTGGGACATAGAATCCTCGAATCCTCGAATCCTAGAGTTGGACGTGGTGGTTGTTGACATGGTGGTTGTTGGAGTGGTCCAGCATTTCTGTGTTCTCAAATGATGAAGCACCTGATGAACCAGCCTGGACACAGCATCTTATTTGAGAACACAGAAATGCTGGACCACTCCCACAACCACCATGTCAGGCAACACAGAGAAGCCATGGAAATCCACAAGAAGCATGTGGACAATTTCAACAGAAAGGAAGAGACCATGAAAATGAACAAAATCTGGCTACCAGTATTAAAAAAACTCTAAAATTACAACAGCAAAACAGCAGAGAGGAAACAATCAGGCACATCTTAACACCTCTCAACAGAACATTTTCCCAGGCTCAGGCAGGCCTTCAAATGCTAATGAAGGTGGTCAGCTGAAACATTCACACCTAGCTCCAGCAGACAAGAGTCCTTTGTCCCACCCTGGTCATTCCACAGATATATAAACCCCTTTTCCTAGTTCCAACAGACCTCACTACCTCTGAGGGTGCTTGCCATAGATGCAGGCGAAACGTCAGGAGAGAATGCCTCTAGACCATGGCCCTATAGCCCGAAAAAAACTACAAGAACCTTATTATAATTATTGATTGTAATTGCTGTTTTAATGTTTTACTGTAATATGTATTATGATGTTTTATTGATTGTCTGTGATATTATGGTTGGAAACCGGTCTGAGTCCCTCAAGAGAGGTGAGAAGGCCGGGATACAAAACTTTTACATAAATAATAAATAAATCTCTGGACCTTGGTGGATGATCTATGTGGAGACGTGGGGGGGGGGGGGGCGGGCTGTGCCCCTCCCTGCTGGTTCCCCTGCACTTTCAGTGGGCATCAGTGCCATCGGCCCACCGGGATCTCCCCCTAAGTCGCCTTTCTGGGATGGAGCTTGGGGGCACTGCTCCATCGTGGGGGCTCCATTCCCTCCTCGGACTCTCTCCTGTGGATCAAGGCCTTCCTTTGTCTCCCACGCTACTTAACACACACATGAAACTGCTGGGAGGGGGGCTGGGGGGCTGGGGCGCACCACCATCAGTCTGCAGGTCAGGCCCAACTTGAGTTCTGTTTCCCCCTCCCCTAGTTGCAATGAGGCCGCAAGGAGGGACAACAGACTGGAGTGGGACGCAGGCAAGACAAAGGTGTTGCTGGGTTGCTGTAGTTTTTTTCGGGCTGTATGGCCGTGGTCTAGAGGCATTCTGTCTTGACATTTCGCCTGCATCTGTGGCAAGCATCCTCAGAGGTAATGAGGTGTTGGAACTAGGAAAGTGGGTTTATATATCTGTGGAATGACCAGGGTGGGACAAAGGACTCTTGTCTGTTGGAGCTAGGTGTGAATGTTTCAACTGACCACCTTGATTAGCATTTGATGGCCTGGCAGTGCCTGGAGCAAACTTTTGTTGAGAGGTGATTAGATGTCCTTGTTTGTTTCCTCTCTGTTGTTGTGCTGTTCTAATTTTAGAGAGGGTGTTGCTGTCCATCAGAAGGGCGCGGCCTCCTCCTCTGCCTTCCCAACAAAGCCTCACACTCACAGTAGTATGACGTTTGTGTTTATGTTTATAGATACCCTGCTTCCCCCCCCCCCCCCCAGAAGGAGACCCCAAGAGGCTTTGCACTCACAAGAGGAAGTCTTGCTCCCAGCAGGGCTGGTCCCCCCGGACGGCCACCGTGGTGCTCTTCACGTTTTGCACCTTCAGAGTCACGTAGGTATTGAACTTGTCTGCGCAGAGAGAAGAGAGCGGGGCGGGGGCCCCTGAGCAAGCCCCTCCCTCACAAAGGCAGGAGGAGGCACTGGTGGGGCGCCAGAGGCCACAAGGGACCCCACCAGAGAGTGGGGGGGGGGCACACTCTCCCTCCACCACCAGCATTTGGCTTGTGGCTCCCATGCCCAGAAGAGGCCTCTCTTCCCTCCCTGAGGGGGGTCCACCAGCCCCTCCCCAAGCAGACCCCAGGAGGAAGCCCCATTTGGGCCAAAGGCAGAGCCCCCAAGGCAGCAGCGGCCACAACAGGGATCTCACATCGGAGGGGAGGGGGAGGGAGAGCGAGCGGGCAAGGGGGGGAGGCAGGTAGGCAGGTAGGCCCTCACTCACCTGGCGGCCCTTGCAGCTTCGCTTTCTTCACTGTGAAGAAAAAGAAAGGAAGAGAACATGAGGAACGGGTCCTTCAAGAGGGTCAATATTGTATTGTCGAAGGCTTTCATGGCCGGAATCACTGGGCTGCTGTAGGTTTTTCCGGGCTATATGGCCATGTTCTAGAGGCATTCTCTCCTGACGTTTCACCTGCATCTATGGCAAGCATCCTCAGGTAGTGAGGATGCTTGCCATAGATGCATAGACCTCTGAGGATGCTTGCCATAGATGCAGGCGAAACATCAGGAGAAATGCCTCGACCATGGCCATATAGCCCGAAAAAACCTACAACAAGCCAGGGTCAATATTCCCGGTGTAGGCGAATACAGGCCGGGTGCTTCCACACACCTGTGCCCAGGAGCCCCCCCCCCCCCCCGGTCACAGCAGGTGGAGGCCACGTCACCTGAGGCACCCCCTCTTCTGCCATACAACCCAGGCAGATTATAAAGATCAAGTGGTGAAACGCTCCTATCAACTCAGCTTAAGGACAGCTGTCACTTAAAACTGGCTAGGGGTGGTGGAGGCCCCTCTGTGGAAGTGGAAGAGCAGCCCCCACCCCCCCACCCACCCCCCCCCCACCCCTGGAGGAAGAACGGGAACACCTTCCTGTGTGGAAGAGAGAGGAGCCTGGGACTGGACCTCCTCTAACTCAGGTGAGAGGAGCCTGGGACTGGACCTTCCTGGGCGCTTCAGAGAGCCATGAGTCATTTTGGATCGTCTTTCTGTCCCACAAGGACTGACTAGGGATTATTATTTTAATGTGTTATCCATCCTGTTCTGTTTGACCTCTTGTTGCAAACCGCCTGGAGTCCTTGGGGAAAAAAAGAGACATGGAAATGCCCAGGTACATAAATCCTTAGCCGTGCACCTGGAGGGCATGAATGGGGCAGAAAAGCAGCACAAAAAGGAGAAAGGGGGGGAGGAAATGATCCAGTTTTTCTTCCTGTTTCGGATCCTTCAAAAGGATCATTTCCCGAGTCCTGAGCCTCACTTGGATGCAACCAGGCATTTTTTTTTTTTGGGGGGGGGGGGGGAGTATGTGTTAAAGCACTGAGCTGCTGAACTTGCTGACTGGAAGGTTGGCAGTTCTGGGCCAAGTTGGGCTCTCCCTCCAGGTGCTTGGACTCAGACTCCCACAATGCCCCATAGCCTACCGTAGGGAGGGAGGGGGGGGCCAAGTTGGCCCAGGCCTGTTCCAATGTGTACACTCAGGAGGGAGGGAGGGGGGAAAGGGTGGGGAAAGCTGAGAGCGGCAGGAGCCACGCTGGCCTAGATCTGAGGCTTTGGCAGAGCAGCCCCGAACATCTGGACAGGCTCCCAATGCAGATGAGCGGCTGAGAGGCTTCCCCACAGGGAGGGAGGGAGGGAGGGAGGGAGGGAGGGAGGGGCCAGAAGGGGGCAGGTGCACAGGAGGTGAGCACCTAGTTGCACCTTTCACACCCAGAGCCAGGGTGGGGCCGGGAGGCAGGTGCATGGCCACAGCAAGGCATGCTTCCAAAGGTCAAGCGAGGGGGGCGCGGCGGAGAGGGGGCTGCGCCTGGCCCCTCCCAAGCGCAGGGACCACATTTCATTTATTTATTTATTGTATTTATTGATTTATTTATTTATTTGCTTTATTTGTATACGGCTCTTCTCTCTCAGCCCTGAGGCGACTCAGAGCGGTTTGCAACAACTGAGGTATACACAATACAAAATCATTAAGCGTTTCAAAGCAATAGCATCGCAAATCATTAAACATCAGCATCAATACATCACTACATCAGTATAACAAATCCATCGGGTCTCGTCAATGAAATCAGAATCCAAACTCGTTATCCGATATTCCGTGTTGCGATCGTCAGTCAATCAATTGTACTGCTTAGTCGAATGCCTGTTCAAACAGCCAGGTCTTCACTTTCCTCCAGAATGCCAATAAGGAGGGGGCCGGTCTAATATCTGCAGGAAGGAAGGGCGTTCCACACCCGAGGGGCCACCACTGAGAAGGCCCTGTCGCTCGTCCCCGCCAGGCGTGCTTGTGAAGCCGGCGGGATCAAGAGCAGGTCCTTCCCAGACGATGTTAATGTCCTAACTGGTTCATAGGAGGAGACGCATTCGGACAGGTAGGTCGGGCCAGGACCGTTTAGGGCTTTAAAGGCTAAAGCCAGCACTTTGAATTGTGCCCGGTAGCGGATTGGCAGCCAGTGGAGCTGGCGCAACAGTGAAGTTGTATGCTCCCTGAGCGCCGCTCCTGTTAGCCTCCTGGCTGCCGATCGTTGGACCATTTGTTTACTGTATTTGTATAGCTCCTTTCTCAGCCCATAGGTGACTCAAGGTGCTTACCAGGGTAAAATTCAATGCTTACAATATCATAAAGACAATTGAAAACATAACATATGATAAAAATTAAACATATCAACAAAATATAAATTCATAGTGACTCCTTGTTAAAAACGCTCATTGTCGTCGTTCCATTTTCCGACATCAGTTACTCTGCATTTGGAAACGCTTGTTCAAAAAGCCACGTCTTGACGTTTTTCTGGAATGTTAAAAGGGAGGTGCCCGGTCTAATATCTATAGGGAGGGTGTTTCACAGCCAAGGGGCCGCCACCAAGAAGGCCCTGTCTCTCATCTCCGCCAAACATACTTGTGACAAAGGCGGTAAAGAGAGCAGGGTCTCCCCAGATGATCTTAAGGTCCTAGATGGTTCGTAACATGTAAGTTGGGCCAGAACCGTTTTACACACTTTACGACAAAAGGGTGAGGGGTTTTTCAGTCCGGGGGGGGGGGCATTGCTCATGTGGAATACCTGTTTCATAATTATATATAAGCTCAAGTTATAGTGGCTTTTTCAAATGAGCATAGCAAAAAAAAAAATCTCCCTTAGGTATAAATTATTAATATTTATTTATTTATTTACTTACTTATTTATTTATGTCCAGAGTACCCCATCATCACCCTGAAGGGACTCAGGGCGGGTAAAGCCTCAGTGAGAATAACACCTTCCAGCAATCAACTTGACCATCACCTTTGCCTCAATCAGACCAGAGTTCTTTCTCCCTCCCTGAACATCATTCCACAGATATATCAACCTCACTTGCCTCATTTCCAACAGACCTCCCAGCCTCTGAGGAAGCCTGCCTGCCTGCCTGCCTGCCATAGATGTGGGCGAAATGTCAGGAGAGAATGCTTCTGGAACACGGCCAGGCAGCCTGGAAACCTCACCGCAACCCCACCTGACAAGGTTCATGACACCCTCATTGTCCTGGGAGATCCTATCTATGCCCTGCCCAATCCTTCCTTCCTTCCTTCATGGGGAGAACAAATTGAACCCCAGAATCAAAGTTTCCACTGATTCTGGTAAACAATTCTATTTCCTGAAAGGGATTCCACGTTGCCTTCACGCCCCAGGTGGCTCCCCAAACCTCAGGGCAGGGCAGCCCTCCAACAGCCAAGGCTGCCTCTTCCAAAAGATGAGCGGAAGACTCTTTGCAGGAAAGGCACGCCCATAGAAGTGAGACCCGGCACTTGTCCACGTCAGGCTCCAACCTAGAAGTAGAGTGGCCCCCAGGGATACACAAGCACTACCCTGAGGGATCAATGAGCAACACCACAAGAGTCGGGGTCAAATTGAGCTGACCACAGCCCCTGCCTGGCATGACGCGAGGGAGCGTAAAGAGCAGGAACGGGGCTGTCCTCTAATGCACTTTCCTATGGATCTAGCAATGCCTGCCTGCCCTTCCCTCTCTGAAAACTCTTATCCTAGTAGTTCATGCTCATCTGTCCATGCTCAGCATTATCTTTAAACTTTAATTATTACATCTGGCCCAGCCATAGGCTTTAACTGTCATTGTGTTATTGTTAACGTTTATTGCTTTTTTGTTATGACTTTTCATATTTTATTGTTTTGTATTATTTGTTGTTATTGCTTTTTTATTGACGTATTGTGGCCTCAGCCTCATGTAAGCCGCACCGAGTCCCTCGGGAGATGGTAGCGGGGTATAAATAAAGTGTTATTATTATTATTATTATAAACCCCACCCAAGTGGCCCGGGCCACGGCCACAGGGAGGGCCTGCCTTCCCATTCTCCATTCTGGCTCCTCTGGCGCTTACCCTGAGCAGTGACTGCAATACAGAACGATCCGCAGGTGCTCCAAGCATTGGGCAGCGATGCCACTCGGTGCTGCCACAAACCACCTGCTCCCGCTGCCACCGCTTTGGGCAAACGGCTGGGCAGAACACAGGAAGCCAAGGCAGCTCTGCTCAGCAGGACAGGAGGGACTCGGGCCTGGCTCCCCTGGGGTGTCCTGCCTGGGGCAAGGAGGCGCCCCGCAGGTGCCCAGGTGTGGGAGCCCTGCAAGGGGAAACAGGCACCTGGCTCTCTTGGCAGGAATCCCCCCTCCTCCCAATCTTTCTCCTGCCCCCACCCCAACCTGGGTGCTGGGAGGGGCTCTTCTGGCCCTTCAGGAAGGAAGGAAGGCTCTCCTTTTGGCACACCTGGGCTGGGAAAGCACCTCTGAACCCAACGCCACACACCAGAGATCTTGATAGCAAGCAGTTTAGTAAAGAACAAAAATGGCTTCAGCAAAAGAACAAAAGAGGTTTAAAAGTCGAACAGAATATTGCCCATAAAAAGAGTCACGTAAACATGAAAGGCAAGAACCCAGGCGTCAAGTTCAGGAGACAGGAATGTCCAAAAACCCTGGCAAGATCCAACAGCAACAAGAGTCTGTGAGCCCAAAATAATCCAGGAATACAAAACCAAAGAGACATGAAAATACAGGAACACGTTGAGCATAGAATCCAAGGCATGAAAAGTTACAGGAATCATCACGTGTATGTGGATCCAAGGCACAGGAGAAAAGGCAGGAATTATTGCTCTCCAAACTCAACGTTCAACGATCTCAGGTGCCCTCCTATATCTATCTATAGCCAGAAAGCCATGCCTTTTCCCTTGAGAAACCACGGAAGGACCCCCTTCCTTCCTTCCTTCCTTCCTTCCTTCCTTCCTTCC